CTATCTTTAAAAAGAGTAACACGGGGCAGGGCACAGCTCGGTGGTAGGGCACATGCTTCGCACGCACACTGTCCTGGGTTCCATCCCCACTACCTCCATTTAAAAGAGAAAAAGTTCTCAGCACAGGAAAAAGAGTAACATTAAAAGATGGTGAGCCTGTCCCAAAGCCACATGAAACAGAAAGCTCTAGTTAGGAAATTTTAAAAGAGATCATCAGATCACAGATTTTCAAAATGGAAAACTAGTGATTTTCAGAAATAAAGGATCAAAATCCTTGTTTCCTCATTATAACCTGAAGTATAATTTCTGAGAAGGAATTCCTTCATTTAGTTATGAATATATCAAATTAACTTTTTGGAAATTATTCCTCTAAGGAACAATATATTCCAATCAAAGAGACATGTTTTTCCATGAAGTTTTTTGTTAGCAAAATGAACACAAATTCTGCTGGAGTTCATAAAATTTCTTGTATCTCAGAAGAATAAATTAACATTACTGCTGGAAAAATCTTTCTCTATTAATCTTCATCCCTACTCCCAATATTAGTCTAAAGTCACAGCTATGTTACAACCAAAAGTAGTACAAAAGGTAAGATAACATTTCAAATGTATATCTTCTGGTAACATTAATGACATTTTAAAGAGTAGTGACAGTAGTGACAGATGTGGAAGCAAATAATAGTAACTCGTAATGTATTGGGCAATAAAATTTAGATTTAACTGTTGACAATACTTTGTCACACAATTTCTAACTAATAGTCTAGTATCCATATTAATAGTGAAAAACTGGTCCAAAGTTGTATACTGTCCCCCCTTTTCCCAGCATGTCCATTTCCCAAGCTGATTTTGCCTCATCTCTCCGACCAATAAAACCCCTGCCTCCCCCAGTTGGATTTCCAAAGATTGGGACATGACATTATCATCAGAGAAGGACCAAATATAAAACACAATATAAATTACACAGAAGTAGGCATTTCATTTTACCAGTTTATCTTCATTATGATACTTGCATCAAACACAAATCTTGGAGAATGTCTTAATGTTTCCATTAAATTTAGCAAAATATTTAGTGGACCACAGAAAAAAATAGTGACAGTAACCAAAATCATCCCTAACATGTGTAATTTATTCTTTCACATCCACGTTCGTTAAATCCTTCCAACATCCCTGAGAGACAGAGGCTGCCCCTACCCCATAACCCACCCCCTGTCCTCCAGGTGCGGACTGATGGGATATGTGATTGGCAGAAGAAGGTATTCACAGCAGGATGCAGTGGGCCACTTGGGTGCATTGGATTGGGATGGGCACAGTCTAGACTTGAGCTTGTGTCTTTGAGTTGAGGCTGCATGATGGAAGCAAGGTGGAATAAAGAAGGTGATGATATCAACCTGCTAAGGGGCCAGAGTTACGAGTCCCAGTCCCAAAGGCACTCGACACGGGGTGAGGGATGAAGACAAATGTCAGGGCACAGTCTGAATACTAAACCAGGAGAACGTCCTCTGGAAACTGCGCAAGTGAGCCCTTGAGGGGAGCAGGAGATGGAGGGGGCAGAAGGGGGCAGGGAAGCACACTTTTCTAAAGGTTATTTCTCCTCCAGGGCAGAGAAATCTGAAAACAGCTCATTGGACACACGGTAGTTGAGAGAAGGTTAAATTAGAGACTTAAATTAGAGACTTAACCATGTTTCGAAAAAGTGAAAACTCAGAAGTGACCTGTGGAGGAGGGGCGGTGGGTGTGGGGAAGAGAGACTTCAAAGTGCATTATAAGCCCCTTCCCTGCAAGTTTATTCTGAGTCACAGGCTCAGAAGTGGTAAATTGCTTGCTAAGGTACTGAGTCCAGGACCCTGGGTCAGGCCAAGATCAAGCAGAAACCAAGGCTCTTCTTAGACACCAGCATTCCATGCCTCGAGTCGCCCACAACTCCTGGAGAAAAAGGACTGAAGAGGCAAAAATGAAGCCAAGGTTCAGAGCGTGAAATGCCAAAGATCAGACACCGATGTCGCTCTGGCCAGGGCTGGGGTACAGCTTCCAGGTTCCAGAGCCCACACTTTTTCCATTTTGAGCCACACTGGAAATACTATCTTAGAAGGCAATTTTGATTATAAGCCAAATCTCACCTAAAATGGAGGGAATTCAGTTGATGGCTAGAATTCAGATTATCTGGGCAAAATTCCTTCTATACTCTCTAAACACCAAGCCCAGGTGGGGTTGAATCAGATGCAGTTTTGGATACAGGATCTGCATAACTCACCGATGAAGTGATTGTGCCCCAAGGCGAGCATCTCCTCCAAGAGGACGAGGCCCCCGGGGGCCTGGAGGAGGGTCACGCTGCGGCCATCAATGAGGGAGCACTGCTGAAACCCCGTGGTCGTGACCTTCCACAGCAAAATCAGCGAGGCTGCGGCATCTTGCCGAATTCTGAAAACAGGGATAAAGTAAACAGAAAGCCTCTTACAAAAAAAAATCATCTTAGGATGAATCAGGCCATCAAATGAAACACAGAAATACAGACAACACGTACATCCACAAAGGTAATGAGAAATGGATGAAATGATCTTCCAAACAGGTGCCTGCTCAGAGCGGGCATTCCCCCAACTTGTTGGAAATGCCTCTCTCCCCACTTGATCAAAAATACACCACAAAATCACTAACAGATAACTCATCTGTGTGCAACCATGTTAATCAATAATAAAAGGGTATATTGAGTTTAGAGACGACTCCTTCCATGTTTATACATATAAAGAGTCCTGTTTGAATTTATTATAAATGTGTGTACATCCCAAAACCACTGAGTTGTGCTGCTAAAATGAGTCAAAGTGTGTCTCCTCCCATGCTTCAGGCTTCCCCCTGTTTTTTTCTTGTTCTCCGGATAAAATTCAAAGAATGAGATGCCACAGAAGACTCGTCCACCTCGGCCTCACCTCCCTCTCAGCCTCAAACCTCGCAGCTCCATCCTTGCTACCCGGTGCCCCTGCAACAAAGAGCTACTGTCGCTGCCCAGGCGCTGTCCTGACTCTCAGCCTTTGCCTCCTCCTCCACCAGGGAGATGCGTCATTTTCCAAGGCTTAACCCACTATCACCTTTCCTCTGAGATCTCCCCTGAGCATCTTCCCAGCATCCGGCAGCTGTCCGCCCATCCTCTGTGCCGCTGGGGAAATGCGTGTCAGTGCTCAGAGCTGCGCGCAGCACAGAGCTCCTGGCTTGCAGCAGGGGGCTCGATAAAGGGCTGATAAATGATCAAACTCACGAATAAGGAAAATGAAGGGGCTAGGAGACCTCCCAAGTGAATGCAGCACCCAGAGATCATTAAGCACTCCCATCTTACTCAGCCTGGGTCACAATCTGCTATTTCTGTCCAGCTCTGCAGCCTTAAAAAAGTCTTGAGGAATTTCAAGTTTGTTGAAAGGGGGAAAAAATAAGGCATTTAAAAGGAAAGATCAGAATTATTCAGAAAGACTTAGTAAAGTAAAACAATATGACCTAGACAGGAAAAAACTGGCAGATGGTTTCATAAACATAAATGATCCTTATTTCTCTGAAATCAGCTCTGGATGGTGGGGTTTCGTCTGTAGTGCGAGCAACAAAACGCTTAGGACAGGGCTCCCCCTGCTGGTAGAACTCAAAGCTGCCTGGGATGCCACGTCTCTCCCAGGGTGGGGACTTCCTCCCGGTGTCCAGAGCTCACTGCCCATCCTGGCCCTTCCCTCCACATGAGTTCAAGGGAGGGGGCAGGGGATGCAGGGGTAATGAACAAATCCCCTCTTCCAAATATTGTCAGGGGCTGGCTCCACTGTTTAGAAGGCAAGATGGGCAAAAATGATCCTGTGTCAGTGAAGAGTGGGTCTCCAGTGCCCACCGCCCTCTGAACATGGCGCGGATGCAGCACTGGTTAACCAGGCCAGGGTCACCTGTCCCCCAGTCTTCCAAAGTGCCTGAGGACCAGACAGCAAACGCCTATTTGGTTGCATGAGGGGTTGGGTGGGGAGTGGTAGTTAATAGCAACAGAGGAGGGTCAATAGTGGGAGCCGCTGTGTCTGGGGTGCTGCCTCCACCCCCACTCCCCAGCAACTCACCGACTCACAGCACCTGGTGCCCCGCAGGTGCCCAGTCAGCACTGCTTCCCTTTGCATCCCCCAATCCCCACCAGTGACAGCGGGCAATTATGTAATTTGAAGGAGCTTACATTTAAAACAAAACAAAACACTCTCTTCTCACCTGTTTGTTTTTAAAGAGAAAATTGCAATGTTCAGATTTTCAATTTGGGGTAAGTTATGCATACCAATTTAACCAACGGTCCACTGAAATCTTAAGAAGCCAAAGAATTTTGGAAGCAAAGGTCACGTGGGGAAGTGAAGGGTCTGGCTGCAGATCTTACCTAAGGCACCTGGATTTCTTATCTACCACGTGATCCCCCCCCCCCCGCCACCTCCCCCCGCCCCTAATCCACTTACACGTCTCCAGCCTCACCGGAATCAGCTCCTTTGAGACAGCTCCCTCTAGTGTTTGAGTGACATAGGCCACATCTATCTGTTCAGGATTCTCACTGGACTGACAGTTACAGCCCAGCTGCGTGATTAGACACCACCGGGCATCCAGTCACAGTATCAATCATGACAACGTTTAACTGAGAGTTTCCTTACTTGACTGAGGTGTTCTGCGGCACTTCAAAGGTCACCAGACGGCCACCTGCAGAGCTGTTAGAACTGGCATTACCACAGGCGATATCTGGAGTCACCTGGGGAAGAAAAAGAGCAACAGTGACGAAAAGACAAGTTATGAGGGTTAATCAGAGTACAGGATAGTATTAGAAAGCAAAACTCCACGAGCTGCAGCCACTCCATTCCTTTGGATGACACTGGGGACAGCACCCTGAGCGGAGAAGTGAAAACTTACAAACAAAAGAAAATGAAAACTTGGCCATTTGAGCTTCGGAAATGTGAAAGCTCTGCTGAGATCAGTCGAGGAATTACTGCAGTGACTAAAACTGCCGACAGGATGGTGCAGGGACAGGGGAAGATGCGCTTCCCCACCCGGCAGGCTGCTCTGCTCTCTGCTCAGTCTGAGGGTAACAGGGACTGAGCACTTAGAGGACAAGGAGGTGGCCTTTAAGGACTGGTTTCCAGGCAGCAGGCAGAAAAGTGAATGACGAGGAGAGTGAGCCTTCCGGCGAGCAACAGGCAGGATGTGTCTGGTCTGGATGGCCCTGTTCTGTGTGGAGGTGGGCTCAGGAGCACACGCTAAGGCCAGGTAGCTGGGAGCTGCCCTTTCTTCCCCTGTGGACCACACTTTCATTCTTAACTAACATGTTCCGGAAAGTATTATACTGATGGGTACCAAAAACGGAGCTCAAGGTGGGAAATTGTGCTGATCAGGTAGCATACTGCCGACACCTGAGCTCTGTCCATGAGGTGCTTCTGACTCATTTATTCATTCATTCCTCATGCCATCCCTGCGCACACCCCTGAGAGTCAAAAATAAAAGGATATTAAAAGTAGCCGTCTTAGGGGGAGGGTATAGCTCCGGGGTAGAGTCTGTGCTTAGCATGCATGAGGTCCTGGGTTCAATCCCCAGCACCTCCATTAAAATAAATAAATAAACCTAATTATTTCCCTACCAAAGAAAAAAGAAAAAGAAATTTTTAAGTATCCATCATCACTGAGAACAACACAGAAATTCTCAGCACTTACACTCCACTCCCACTGCGTAGAACTTATTTGTCCAGAAATATATTCACGGCTCCCTCCGACACTTTTAACCTGCTTTTTAAACAGGCGAACAAATAACAGAGTGACAAGAAGATGAGTCGTTTCTTTTTTACGTTTATGGACTGTAGGATAGCATGTCTTTACAGAAATAGATTGAAATGGCAGGTTGGGGGAAATTTTCTTTAAAGGATACCTCCTTGTAAACATGGAACCAAATCTAGTTCACATTCAAGAAGTGAGTCCTTCAGCAAAGAGGTATTAAAATCATAACTTCAAAACCCCTATTTCGAGTCTCAAATTAGAACAGGTAGAATAAGAACTGCCCTGCAGGCTGAATGGGGCCTTCACAAATCATGTGGCAATGAAAAAAAAAAAAAGTGGGTCAACTGGTTAGAATTACCCAAGAAAATAAAACAAGAAATGCTGCCTTACCTCTTTGATAACAAGAAGCAAAGTTTCTAGACATATTCTTAGACTCTAAAAATGCTACACAAAGACCTATATGGGTTTTGTTTTGTTTTTATTTTCGCTTAAGCTACAAAACCTGTAATAATCTACAACCACAGGTCTATGGGGGGGTCTTATAAAGGATAAGATATGGAATGGAATTACCCTCTGCCCATGTCACCTCAAATTCATGACTTCAATTGTTCTTCAGTTCTCCTAATATTTATATTTTATGTCAACTTTTAAAGGTCTGCTGGAAAACCCTCAAAGTGAGACTTTTGATGAGTTTGAAAATACAGTAAACTCAACCCAGACTGGACAAGATTCAATAAACAGAATTTGCTGCTGCCAAAATGAATAAAATTTGGAAATATCATTCTCAAATGCATTGCCAAAAGGATTTTTAAAATCAATGATGGCTTCCCCCCCTCCCAATTCCCATTAAAGGGCTACAAGTTACAAAATATAAAACCTAAACAGTAACAAACAAACAAAAAATGGAGCATAAAAGTCCATGAAGTAAGATTAGTCAATAATGGAGGGTCTGTGATACGCTTGTTTCTATGACTCTTCATTGAGCTACCTGCCCCCGAGTCTAAGATTATCTCACAGAAATGTATGTGGATATCATTCCAGAAAATAATTTCATTCATTTTCTTTTCTTGTTTACTCTTTTCATGGTGCAAAACAATCATAACTGAAAAGTCTCATTTGCATAAATGAGACAGAGTTCCTGTACACAAATGCAGACAGGAAAGAAGTCAGGCATATCATTTTGTTCAATGTGGAAGTTATTCCATTTTTACTGCTGATATTAGAACCACTGAAGCTATTTTAACTGTACTGGTTCCTTATATAAAAACATATTCACTAAAATTTTCTCACCTCCACTTGATCCCATTTCATTTCGACAACTTTCTGCCCTGTTTTCGGCTGCCACGTGGGCAGAGTGACAGTTGCCTGAGAGCTGGGCAGAATTATGTCAGGTTCCTGGGTAGCCGGGACAGGCTGAAGCTGTCTGGGTGCCATGGACTCTGTCCAGCCAGAGGCTGGGACACTGGCAGGTGTCTGTTCACAGTTTGGACCTTCATAGCCTTCGTTGCAAATGCAGAGGTAGCCATCGCTGCGGCTGCTGCTGCTGCTGCAGTTGCCATGGTGACACGGGTTGCTGGCGCAAGGATCTGCAACAAGCTGAAACAAGACCGTAAATGGGTCAATTATTCTCTCATAAGAAAAGTGTTGCGGTCGCTGGGAAATGAGCTCCGTGGCTCAGAGCTGCTGCTCTAACAGAAACGCTGCTCCTGTGGAATATGCATTTTTAACTACTTGTGCTGTTGGGGGGCGCTCCCCAAGGTCGTCCTAACATTTAACCCTTCTGCAGATAACAGGCGTCCAGCAAAGAAGTATGAAGTTCATGGAGAAAAGCCTCCCCCAACCCAAGGCCCTAAATAATGTGGATTTCAGGAACGCGTGTTTAGAGGAATTTTCTAAGGCAAAAATAGTTAAAAATCAAGGCTCATTAGGAATACACCAACTCTGATATTTTTAGCTGCGGGTCATGACAAACAATACTAAGAATCTAAATTGAAATCTCCTTTTTCACATCCTGGACCATTGAAGGATTTCCTCATGAAAAATGACTGTCCAGTTCATCTCCCTTACAGATGCACTTACCTATAACTTCCAGTTTCCTACCTGATGAACCATTCTATTTAAGGTGATGTTTTTTAATTAAAGGCTCCAAAATGATCAGCTTGCATGACAACAGCAAGCTAGAAGGCATCATGATGATGACTTACGTGAAGCAGAGTTTCATGATGGTTTCTACCTCATTATTTTGGAGGGTGATTACAGAGAAATGAGACCCTGCTGGATATGGGAGATAAAAATTCAGTTGCATATCTTTAAATCCTGTTCATGTTCTAAGGAAGGTGCTTATCTCTGAGTCCTTTGCTGACCTCTGACTAGTCCTTTGTTATTACTCGGAGATGATACAAAAACAATGTAAAATGAAACAATGTAACAATGCTTCTCCCCAGACAGCCCAAGCGTTCAGGAGTGTTCACAGAGCTTATTCAATTATCACTTGCCTCTGTGATAACAGAAAATTAGACCTCTATCTGATCTGCCCTGGCTTCTCAGGGCTGGTAATAAAACAGAATTGAGTGGAGAATAGACTACAGAGAAACGGGACCCTCAATTTCTCTTGTTGAAATGAGTTCATTCTTAAACACACACGCAGATAGAATTCTGCATGGAAAAACAGCTACTCGTTCTGCTAATTATCCTTGTCAAATAATTTCCAGCAAACTCCTTTAGGAGGATTAAGGGATTTGGGATAGAATAAAATGAAGCTCCAAAAATACCACATTGTTCATTCTATGCTATCACTTGGCAAATCCTTCACAGAATGGCAGATAAAAGTAGATGGGTCAGTGTCTGAAGAAAATATTTAAAGTGTAAATAATTTTAAATATTTACAATCTTTACCAACTCAAGGGAAAACCCAAAGTCCTTTGATAGCAGACAAAGCCCTCCCTGATCTGGCCCCTTCCCACACATGCTACTCACCCCTCCTCGCTTTCTCTCTGTCCCTGGACTATGCCAAGGTCATTCCTACCTCAGGACCTTTGCAACTGCTGGCTCCTCTGCCTGGAATGTTTTTCTCTCATACTTTCCACAGCTCTCTACCTCATTTCGCAAAGTTCTCTACTCAAATGTCACCTCCTCAGAGAAGCCTTCCTGCACTATGAAATCTAAAACAATCCCTTTTTTCCTTTTTTCAAATACGTGAGCTCCATCAGGGCATGGACTTATCTGCTGTGTTCACTGCTCTATTTCCAGCATGTTGAGGAACCCAGCAACATGGTGGGGCTTCTTTTAAAAAAGCATTGAAAAAATAAAGACATCGATCAATTGATATCTTAAAAGTAATGTGTGATAAGGGACAGATTGAATTGCTCCTTTAGTCCTGATGTTCCCTCACTTCTGATTTAATTTTTGGAAGGCTTCATGTAATGGGTATAAGCTCAAGAAAGAGAGAAAAATTTAATTAGGATAAAGGAGACATGTAAACCATGTTTCTGACATCAACTTTTAAAACAACATCTGAGGTGACCCAGTCACAAATTAAGACTTTTAACACACACCTAAAAACACAGAAATCCATTCCAATCAGTTACATACACTGAGGAGCTCATGATAAAAGTCAATTCTGGAAATGCAAACCTTCATTGTGCAGCTTAGAGAATGACATTACTAAGGCAAAGACCAGCAGCCATTTGATGGCCAGAGAGGTCCCAGGGCTTCATTCCATGGTCACAGCCCATTGCTGGGGACAGCTAGTCCTCAGAGAGGGTGCCAAGGTGCAGCATAAATCAACACCTGCTCCAGAGGAAGCATTCAAAACACAGGTGTCCACCCTCACACAGCAAAGGCTACAGGAGTGATAACTATTGCTCCTCGAAGGGGGCCATTGAGAGTTTTCCAAGAGCACTGCCATATAGTATTTCATTTGTGCTCACAGCAACCCCGAAACAGAGTAGGATTTTTCTGAACCCTCATCACTGGTGGGGAACAGAAGGGCAGAGGAATTGAGTGACCATCACAGCCACTGCAGAAGAAAGCCAGAACCAAGCACATCTTCTGACCTCCAGCCAAGACTTCCTTCCATAACACGGCACTGCACTTTGATATCAGATTATTGTCTCACACACACACACACACCCCCCTATGGAGAAGGCAAAAGACAAGGGTTATATTTCTGCAAACAGCAGAAAACAAGTTAGGATTAAATGTAGGCCAGTTAAAACCACCTAAAATGCTTTTGTAGAACCAAAGTACAAGAACAATAATCCTCAGTGAATACTGATTGAGGCCTTACTATACGAAATGAACTGGGCCTGGGAATAAATGCTAAAAGGCATGTAAAAAACAAACAAACAAACCAACCAGATGCAGTGCCTGGCTCTACAGAGTTTCCGTCCAGCAACCTCGTATGAGCACTAAGAACAGCAGCAGCCAAGCTAGTACTACCTGCCACGCGCTGAGTCCCCCCCACGCACCTGCCACGGCATTTAGCAGCTCCCCTCTCCTACTTTGGTTCCTCCTTACAGCAGTCCTCGGAGGTTCCTATGTTCATTACACTACAGTAGGCAAGTGATCGACTTTTACTCAGAATGAAAGGCAGAGTCTTCACAAAGTCTTACTAGGCTCTAGGTGACCCCTCCTCCCCCAGGCTCTTTGACAGCTTCTCCTCTTCTTACCCTCCCTCACTTGGCTCCAGACACACTGACCTCACTGTTCCTCCAACCCTCCAGGACCTTTCCAGCCTCAGGGCCTTTGCACTGGCTGTCCCTGACATCTGAGATGCTCCCACTTCTCATGGCTGCTCCCAAGCTTCCTCCAAGTCTTTGCTCAATTGTCAGGACTTCTCTGAGCACGTGATTTAACAGGGTGAAGTCTCCCCACCCCAGCACTGTTGATTCCTCTTTCCCCACTTTATTTTTCCCCCAAACATCTAACCTTCTATCACCTTCTAACATATTGTTATGTTAGGAAAAAGTTAGGGGGAAAGTTATTTATTTATTATACTTATTTTTTATCTTCCCCCCACCCCAGAATGCAAACCCTGTGCAGTCAGGTTTCTTTTTACTCTCTGTTTTTTTTAAATAATTCTTTTTTTTATTGAAGTGTAGTCGATTCACAGTGTTGGTTTCAGGTGTACAGCATACATACATATGTATTTGTTTTTCAGATTCCTTTCCACTATAGGTTACAGATTTATTTTTTCTGTTTCGCTTACCTGTGTGGCCCCAACTCTTGAACAGCGCCCTGCACCCTGCAGCTGCTGAGTACACACTGAATGAGTGAGTGAATGAATGATGCTATACACGTACAAGGGGTTGCCGGACCTGCGAGGTGTATTGTTGGGTAAAATTAGGATTCCCCAAGGCCCACCCCCAGGTCTCGAGAATTTAAGTCAAGAAGCGTCTCACTCATCCCCACTGTGGTGTTTTTACAGCGACTAGACCACTTTAAATCAGCTTTTAAAAGTGGGAGGAGTCTCTGTTGACCTGCAGCCTTGGCCTTGACGAGCGCAGGAGGAGTCTGGGCTTACTGGGGATCACAGGCGGCTCTCCGCACCAGTGCACAAGCCATCGTGCTCTGGTCCCTGGCGACCCTCCAGGTGAGGCACTGCCTGAAGCCCGTCCCTTACTGGCAGCGTCGGGGCGCAGGCGCAGAGGGCTGGGTGGGCGGGGCAGGCCCCACGGCCACGCCCAGTTCACCAGCCCAGGAGTCAGTTCCACCGGGTGAGGGAATAAAGAGGGAAAGAAAATACGCTGAGGATAAGGGATAGGGTTTAAGTGCTGCTGTCCCGGCTTGACAGAGAAAGGCAGGAATGTCACGTGCAATTAAAGAAGCAATGACTAACGTAGACGGCCAGGAACGCTCTTGGTAAAGAAAAAAAGGAGATAAAAGCTAAAAATTAAACTATCAGTTGTATAGATTTCTAAAGGGATTCAAAGCAGTGAGTGATGGGATGACTTGCACAGACGCACGCACACACACACACACACACACACACGTGCCCACACGTACCCACACGCAGTGAATACAAAGCGAGCGTTAAATGCACTATGAGGTCATTGATCCCTTCTTTAAAATAGTCGCTTCCTAGCCATCTACTCCCTTGGGTTTTCTGCTAGTTGCTTCACTAACAATGACAACCACCTAACTTCAGGCTAGTTTCATTTTTTTTTTAATCAATCTTTTCAATTGCATAACAGCAAATACAAGATAAAATGCAATCATTAACCTTTAAGCAGAATCTTGGCATCATAAATATTTATTGTAAGTCCTGTTTCTCTGCACACAGCTTATTGAATTTTTTTTTAAGTTTGTATGTGTATTTTATCTCACAGGGAAAAAGTCCTGTTGCAGAGGTCACTGCTGCCCTTGAATTCCATTACATTGACCTATAAACAGAAAATAACCAAACTGCCAAAATGCATAATAAGGCAAAATATCATAATTAATAGACCTGACTTTGGGGACACTCAAAATTTAACAGGCAATATCTTCTCGGCTATAATTTCTAGCTTTTAATGATGGTGGGGAGGATAAAGACTTTGTAGTATCAGCTTTAAGAAAGAGTAAAGAAGGGGTGGGGAGGGTATAGTTCAGTAGTAGAGTGCATGCTTAGCATGCACAAGGTCCTGGGTTCAATCCCCGGTATCTCCATTAAAAAAAATCAATCAATAAATAAACCCAATTACTCCCCCCCAAAAAGAAAGAGTAAAGAGAAAGCCCATGGGTTAGTGGTTTCTGTCTGTAGTAACTGACAAGCTCATTTATTAAAATGCTGTTGGTTTATTGCATCGATTAATCCATCTATTTAAGCCAAATTTTTTCACATCATAGAGCTAGCCCAAAATCATTGTTTCCACATTTTATTTTCAACTTTTCACTTATGTTAAATATACACAATCAAGAGCATTTTGGGGGGTGAACACAGGGTGGGATGGCAGGCAAGGCCAGAGCACAGGTGCCTGCCAGCGCCAGGACTCGTGACTGGAAAGCAGTCTCAGGTGATACTTTAGCCATGACCTGTTTTCCTTCCTTAAACTATCTGCTGCCCATGTTTTTGGCAATTTCAGTGCCCTCTGCATGCAAAGAGAAGGATGAAACGTCAAACTTAAAACAGA